GTCAAGTTCACTGAACATGAATTTGAAACGTAGCTAGATGTGTGGGCATGTAACTTTTAGATTAATGACTTGAAATAGATTTTGTAAGTTCTGCAAAAATAGAAAAAATAAACCTTAGAAGATGACAAAATGGTGTTACCCCGTATGAAAACTACCATTAGAACATCACACTTTCAATTGCAGGTCCCAGTTCCTGTGGAAGTGCCCATCTACAAAGCCAAGTACGTGGAAGTAGAGAAACCCTACCCGGTCACCGTTGAGAAGAAGGTGCCCTACCCGGTGGACAAGCCCTACCCTGTGACGGTTGAGAAGCACGTCCCAGTGCACGTACCCAAGCCCTTCCCCGTGCACGTACCGGTCTACAAGCACGTCTACCACGTGCCCAAGGGCGCCAGCAGCGGTGGCGGCGGCGGTGGCGGCGGCCACGGCTGGCACTAAGTGCATCGCCTCATCCATCTCACTTGCCGCTCATCACGCACGCACGCGCTCCAAGACCACGCGTGCGGTCACGTGTGGGCGCGTGTCATCCAGTCACGTTCCTCGCGCCGCACGAACGTCCCTCGCCGGGAGTCGAACCCAACCCTTCATGCTTCGGTTCCTTCATCTTCCATTCATCTTCGCGATGCGACCTCACTCTGTACACACAAGTTGTTTGTTGACGTTTTGTTTTTCGCTGTGTTAAGTTTGTTTTGTTTTCGTTTACTGTATATAAGCAATCAACCCTTTTGTAATAAAACTTTTGTAGCAAACTGAATTTTTGGTTTATATATTTTGGGATATTATATCCACTCCCTTACTTCAAAGTCCTTACTGAATGAATCAGTACTTTACAATAAGAATATCGACAAAAGGATAAAAGAGAACAGAAAATAATGGAAGGAAACTTAGTTGTCGGGTTCAGGTATTTTCCTATTTCCATGACGATTTTTCAATCGATTTGGGTAGAATATAATAATTTATTATTCATATTATACTACAAATAATATGAATAGATTGTTTGGATGTTTGGATTGTGATGTCAGCAGTGTTACTCAACAGTGTAGTACTTTAGTGGCAAATGCAGGACGATTATCTTTTGTTCACATACCTTGTGGCTTTCCAATCCCCTTATCTTCTCATTACTGCACCGTAATTATTGATAGGAAGCATTATTATTCTCTGCACACAGCATGGAATTCAAATGAACTGTGTTATCTTCTGAAAGCTTATGACTAGAATACCCTAAATGGTTAAAACATTATACAATATATGGACTTTTTATGAAGAGACAGCGGCAGATATTTTGCATAGAAAAGTCACAAAATTGCTTTTTTCTCTTTTTTTACATCTAAATGTTATGATAAGTTAATATAAACAGTTAAGATCTTTATTAAAATGTATTTGTAATTGCAGAATTTCGATGTGTATAATATAGACGGGTATAGGAACGGAATGTAAGTAAACAGCGATCACGGGATCACTAAATGCATTTATAGTAAAGACTTCAATTCATATAGGTAGAAAGGCAAAGCCCCATATGAATGGAAATATTAGGAATACAGGCGGCGTATCCATCACGAACGGAGAGAGACTCGGTCTTTAACACTCGCAGCCGTCGAACTGAGCAGATCGAAGTTAGATAGACGCTAGTCTTCCTATTAGATGGGAATGCTTTAGCAGATATGGATGTAATTGTATTAGGAACAATCCAATGTTAAGTGCAGGGGGAAAATTGCATTAATTTCTATTTTTAAAAGATACGAGATTAATATTAAATAGTATAATGATGATGTACAAACTTTAATTTATTTTTCAAATAATGGACACGGAATTCGATTCGTGAAAATATGGGGATGAGATCGTTAGTGACTATAATTGCAATAGAATTAATTTATTTGCAAATGGTTTCACTGTCTGTTGTAAACATATTCTTGATCTACATACCTTTGACCCATTCTTTGCATTATAGACAGTTGTACTACAAAAAGAAATTAAAAACAAGTTATCAACACTTATTTGGTTTGTTTGACTTCATTTATGTATTAAAATCATGACTAAGTTAACAACAAGTCAATAACATTAGTATACAATGTCAAATTGGAGATTTTCTCTTTTTATCCTTTTTCACTATGCGTTTCAAGCTATCAAGGCTCTTCAGCCGGTGCTTTGCACAAATATAATTTAAAATATCTGGCATAGCTGTAAGAAGTGCATGTCAACATCGAGTCCTCCTTTCGTGAGGTTGTAAAATGTAATTATCTCTGGTTTACGTGAGTAGCTTGATCATTTTTCTGCGATACAAGGGCAAAGAAACTTCCGAGAACAAATCACAACCATTACCGTACTGCCAAAGGCGCATGTCTACGACTCTCACGCAAATGTTAAGACTGGGTCCGTCAGACCCGGCATAGAAAAAATGAGCTGTCGTTGTACTAAGAATAGATAAGAATATCGGGAGTCGCGATGTCGAAACTGCATGGAAGGTGATGAAAAGGTACCAAGAAGCTCAATGTCTTATCAGCGAAACTCCATTCACTACAACCATATCAGAAAACTCGTCCGTCTCTCAGACCCAGCGTCATTGCTGAAGGTTTAACCTTCTTGTTCTTCTCTTTCCGAACTTTATTGCTACCTGCAGTGTGCATTGTCTCTCTTCACATTTAATATCCAACCACACTAAGAGGTGTTTCCGAACTGACTCATGATATTTTTCGTCTTTTCCCTTTTTTATTTTGGTTAGAAAAAAACTATTGACGCATGTTTCTTCTTGTTTGTCGAACATTCGTACGAATCTGAATGAACTTGGAATAAACATGCTTTTTTCGAACACAGACTGGATATAAAACTCGCACCTCACGAAATGCGTGTGTAATCATCACAAACCTCCAGGGCGCGCCCCCTCCCCCACCAACACTTCCGTTCTTCTTCCACACGTACTTCTGCGCAAGCTCACCCATATATTTCAACTGGTTCATATCTCTCTGGTGGTTCGGGGTAATTGTGCTAACGCTTCTCGGAGCCGCGCTTTTGCGACGATAACCACACGCCTTTCTCCCAAGCCGCTGCCGCTACACCTTTTCCTCTGTGGTATGCACAGCCTCCTATTGCGCCCTTCTCCTCAGACCTTCAACGGGCTGTGAACACAGCAACCTCCTGAAAAGAGGGAGATTGGCTAAAGACAACGTTATGTTCAACGGTGAGGTCTGTCAATGATGACGTGTGTTCAATGGTGACACGAATGTTTCGTTAACTGATATCTGATTAAAAAGGCACTTATAAGAAATCGATTAATTCTTTATGTGGCCATAAACATGTTACAGTATTAATTCATACGAAGTTGAATTGAATTGAATTGAATTTGCCTTATTTTACGTGGCGAGACATAGACGAAGTTCATTTTATATTGCCTCGCTCCCACTCAGAAAATGTTTACGAAACTCAATGCACCTTTCCCTGTGTTTATGTAGTTCTGTTTAATCTCCTTCGAAAATTATGAATAGTGTTTTGCTTTCTACACATTGTTTCGCATGCATTTCTCAGCTCTTACTTCCCAGCTCAATTGCCAGGACTTCTTCTCCAGAGCATTATAGACCTCGTCCTCAAACACTCAAACTCCAAAAGAGAGTTTATAGAGCTTCCGTATTCACTGTACCAATGGCTTCCCCTTTTTAAACAACAACACATACTAGATTCCCTTCTATATTTATAGAACCGCTTATCGCATCCCTTGCCATAGTCGTCCTGTACATCATTATTTTTGACCCTCCACTTTTTGGAAAATAGTTTCAAGAGGATGAGCAAAACTCAGATTCCACAATTTTGCAATCTGGATCGATAATTATCATTCTGAAATACATTTATGTTATGATCATTACCAGCAAGTTTTTGAATATCAGATACATTAAAGTTCATCGCATTTTTTAAATATATTTGCATTCTCTTTATTTATTGCATATCCCTTTGGAACATCCATACGTCTTCGCTGTCCTCCGAGCCTTGTCTGTGATCAATGATCCACGCAGCTTACGAGATTTCCCCAACCAACCGGCCCTCCTTGTGACGCTTACCCCGACTACCGACTACCTTACAAGCATCTACCTTTCCAGATCATTTAGCGCAACCCCCGATACGACCCCCACTCACACTGCAATTCGAACCTCTGTCACCCACTCTTCAATCACATCCAACATACCCTCCCCCATCAAAATGTCAGTCCGCCCCCAAATTCACCAGACCGCCTTCAGAACGTACTCGTCTGTACCGATCCTCGACTCTTCCCTTGTTTCCCCTCTCCAACTATTTTCACGTCACTTTCATAGCTCCCATCCTCTTCAAACAGCCCATATTTGCTTCTACAATTCACAGCTCTTCCAACCACTCCATAACAGCTCCCAAAACTCACCATCGCCGCATCTAAAATCTCCAACCATTCGACGCATCAGTACACTAACAGACCGTTCTCCTTTTATACCGTACTTACCCTATATTCTCCACCTCTTTCCATACTTTTCGCATAGCTTTCAACAGCCGATTCCAAAGTCCGTACCTTCACACAACCTTTAGAGACCATAATCCTACAACTATTCTTACATCTCTTACAGACTATCCAGAAGTCTCACGCCTACACCCATCTCCGCACCGCCCCAGAGAGGCCAACTTCCAACCACTCCTCACAGCCACCCAAACCTTCATTCAAACATTCCTATTCTTCTTCAAAGTCCTAACCCCATTTACCACCCCCTCATCACCCCGCACAGAACCACAACCTCCTCGAAAACCCTTACCAGCTTTCCACTGCAAAACCTTCGTCGTTGCTCCAGGGACCTCCACTTCCTCGCTTATCCCCGCGCACCCATCCACCCCACGGTCTCCTCCCCCCGTCCCCGCCCTGCCCCGCCCCGCACACGAGCCAGAGCCCTCCCATCGGAACGAGGTAGCGCCGGAGGATTATTATTCGCGAACTTTCCGGAGCTCTCGGGCGCGCAAGAACCGTTACAAGCCCATTTAAGGACAAAACTACTCGGGGGCGGCGCGAACACTTCTCAATTAGCGGCAATCCCTTTAGTTTAATGATTTCTTCTCGGCGCGGTCGTCGCCCGGGATTACGGTTAATGAATTGGCCGAAGAAGCTGAGAGCTGCGGACTTGGTGCGCCATCTTTGTTTCCCCCGCCTAAGTTTAAGCGCTGCGCTGACGCACTACGTGCATCTGCGCTCAGGTCGAAGCAGTGGTCGACAACCATTACATGGAACGTTTCAGTGGAACAGGTACTCGTATTAACATTTCTAAAAATGTTTTGAGTGTAATTACTGCAGAGTCCAAATGTTAAAAATCGAGTCGGAGCGTACCGAAGTCGAGATTTTAAACTTGGACGAGGCAGTGATAACACTGTGGTATGTTCAGCATTTTATCGGTCACCATAAAATCTCAAGATTAATGAGAACATTTGCATTATTGTGATAGTAAACAAATGAATTCCGTTGCTGTGGCACATTGCAACGACATGGTGGGGTGTTGCTTACGATATATCTATTTAAACAATATTCGTATAACGTGTTTAGAGAAAAGGTGGATGCAAATAATTCTCCTGAATCTCAAGACACTCAAAGAAGTGACATTGGACGAGCAAGTTGTCACGTCGACTTCCAGTGGCGACATCTTCATATAGTCAGTGAATATGATTACCGGAGAAGAATTTCATTTGATGGAATACCAGAAAAATGAGATTAATTTACCTAATACCT